CATTCAGGTGTGCTCAAAACATAACTAAGGATAGCAAAAAATTTGTATTGGGTGGGAAGGAGAAAAGAAATAAAGGACAGGGTTTCAAGGTCTGATGTGTGCCAACGTCACAAGTACATGGCTTTAGCACCTGGGGGTTGCTACTACCTCTAACGTTATCGGAGGTGTGGGAGCAGGTGACGATGAATTTCTTTGAAGGCTTACCTTGGTCAGAAGGATATACAATCATGTTGGTGGTGGTCGTGGATTTGTTGGGCAAGCACACGCATTTTATACCTCTACGTTAACCCTACACTGCTGTTTGTGTTACTACAATTTTTATGCCAGAGGTTATCCATTTGCATGGGATCCCCAAATTGATAGTGTCAGATTGAGACAAGGTCTTCTTGAGTCATTTCTGGAGGGAGTCATTTAGAATGCAAGAGATTCTTATTGAAGAAAAGTATAACATACCTCCTGCAGACTGACAAAGAATCAGAAGTTATTAATTAAAGCATGGAGATCTATTTGTTTTGCTTTATATCTGACTCACTCAAGCAGTGGGTGAAATGGCTAACTTGGGCAGAATATTTGTGCAACACATCATATCATATAGCTTTTTAGACCGACCCTTTTAAAATATTGTATGGTCTTGATCCACCTCACTTGTTGATTATGGACATAGTACTATGTCGATCTATTTTGGTGGATCGTTACTCAGAAGAGAAGGACAAGATGCAGATGGAATTGAAGAGACATCAATTGTAAGCACAACAACTTGTGAAGAAATAAGTTGATGGACATTGAAGGGATGTGCAGTTTGTGATAGGAGATATGGTGTATATAAAACTTTGGCTTTATTTGCAAAAGACATTGGGCAGACGTAGGAATATGAAGCTATCCCCAAACTATTTTGGGCCTTATTGAGATCACGGAGCACATTGTTGAGGTGGCTTATCATCTAAAATTGCCACCTTCTTCGACACTTCATCTAGTTTCCATATATCTAGCTGAGAAGCGCACTTCCCCTTACCTGGACAGAGGCTATGAAAGTTTTTTTGGAGACATTGAAGCTAAAGGGTGTGCATCAGGAATCGACATGTGGGAAATAAGTGTTGATTAATTGGAAATGGTTACCAGATTATAACGCCACCTAGGAGCCTTATGGCTTGATTCAACAACAATTTCCTCTTTTTGTCCTTGAGGACAACGTTTCTTATTGAGAGGAGATTAATGTCAGATCAACATCGACGATGCTTTTCGCCATGCCGAGTCTGTCAATTAATTTGAAGGCTTATTTTACTTGCAAGACTAGTCATTTATTATTATTATTATTATTATTTGGTATGAATAGACTTATTTTGTTTAGGATTGAATATGCTTGTTATTTTTGTTTGGAGTCTTAGGAGTTAGGGTTTGGGAGGGCACGCCTACCTCTTGAATTGTATGTGGTTATTTGTTTTTATTTGAGTGAGTTTCTTGGATTATCATAACAATGCATTTGTTTGCCCTAATTTATGTGGACAACTCGTTGAATCAGTGTACTATTTGTTGTCCAGTGTCATTAAAAACTTTGCAGAATTGACCAAACCAGCCATGCGGACTTTATTTCAATCCATAGTATTTCGAATCTTGCATAATTTATTTTTCTATCGAGCAACATACCCAAGTAGGGCTGTATTTTTTCGAGCCATTTCGAGCCGAACACGAGCGAACAAACTGTTGTTCGTGTTCGACTCGTTTACATTTCGAGCTTAAAAATTTGTTCGTGTTCGGCTCCTTAGGCTTAACGAACGAGCCGAACACGAGCTGCTTAACGAACCGAACACAAGCTGTTCACGAAAAACGAGCCAAATGGACAGCCCTATACCCAAGAGGTTGCTCTATATGGACTTCTTTGATAAAATTTCCATTAAAAAAAAAAAAAAACATTACCGACATTCTTTTAGACCACAGGTCATCATTGCTTCATGATAATAGAAAGCAGAAGATGAATGGAGTTCATTCATACTTTTGTTGAAAAATTTGCAAAATAGTTAATACCATATATCCGAGTATATTCTTTCATCACCAATCAACTTTTAAGATCAATAGAGTCATCAAGATGTAACTTAACAGTGAAACATAAAATTATAAGAGAGAAGAAGTCATCTTTAGAGCTAAAGGCAATAATGATAAACGCATAGGTGTTTTGGACGACGAGATGAAGTGAGAGTAAAATAAGTGGTCTTACAAAGGATAATCTCGGTCGAAACATAGTTTTCTATTAAAAGGATCAAGGATTGATAACATTTGGAGTATGAGAAGATCTTATAAAAATACATTGAATGACATGGAGGAGAGTTTTCCTTGGCTTGGGTAAAGGGAATAGGCAAAACACGCAATCCAAAACATGAGCGGTTAAGTGAAAGAAGATAGGCATTCTAAAGCCAAGGCATGCCTATGAAACTCCTGAATATTGTCTTTGCAAATATTGTTTGTATTATTTTTTGCAATTATTAAAAGTGAGCCCAAAGTGAACCCTTTAATTTAAACCATGGAAATCTTGATAGATCTTGGTTATTAGATTCAACATTCATAGAGGTTTTAAGTAGAGAAAAAGATTTCGTTATTAAAAAATTACGTGCAAAACTATTTCTTCATATGGAGAAATATATTTCAAGAAGATCAACTAAATTGTCCGTCCACCTTCACTATATGAACTAAATCATCAAATTTAGTAATTGTCAAATTTATAATCATTTTTAATTGGAGTTGGTTTCGGAGGTGGTTGAAATTGTTCTGGATGTGGTATGAATGAAAATAGGGAAATTTACATACGTACCACACAATTCTTATACATTTACACATCTAACACTTGAAGTTTGATATTTTCATTTGTAACACTTAGTTATTGAAAACATATGCCGGAAAATGTGTATTTCACTTCTAAAAAATTAATAATAGTGGTATTTTTTCTGTGATTTCAAAGAATTGTGTGGTATGTATGATGGGCTAAGAAGTTGAAAGTAGTAAATTACAAATGAGGAGAATAGAGCCCAACCAAACCTTTTTAAAGAGGCTCTTTTAATTCTGAGGTCATTGTTGGGATTTAAAATAGCCCTTTTTGTGGCTCCATGGAACCTCGCGTGCTCTATACAACTAATTGAATTTTGAACTTGATCTTTATTTTACTTCAACTGGGCTTAATTGTACTTTTGCTATTTAGATTATGGGGCATTTACATACATACCACACAGTTCTTACGAATTTGCATATCCAACACCTAAACTTTGATTTGTACAATTATAACACTTCCATTTTTCACATCACATCCAAAATACTACCACCATTACTTTTTAAAAAAGTGAAATGCTCCTTTTCATGGATATGTAAGGTGTTATGAATGTAACTTCAAAGTTTAGGTGTTAGATATGTAAATATATGGGAGTTGTATGGAATGTATGTAAATCTTCTTTTAATTTTTGACCACTTCAATTCTGGTACATATCCATCTATATTCTGATTTACAATCTGATAAACTAATTTGTTTGTGCCTTTTTGTTGCTGAACAGTAACAATCCATACAAATTGCTAGCCCTAAATGCCATTTTTGTTTAGTTTCTCTTTGCCTTGGTGACTTGCCAATTTCAGCATTCAAGTTTTAACAACATTTGCTCTATATATATGTAATGCTTCTCTCTTTTTTTTATTTGGAAGATTTACACACATATCATTTAATTCCTTTGGATTTACATATTTAATGCCTAAACTTTAATTTTTACAAACATACCACCTTACTTTTGCATGAAAATGTGTGTTTCGCTTTTTAAATGTTAAAATGGTGTTATCTTTTATGTGATATGAAAAAATTGTAGTGGTATTAAAGTAAAAAAGTAAGTATGTATGTAAATTCCCCTTTTTATTTTCATGATTTAACTTGAACCAGGTTTCGTGCATCTCTATGAACGTTCTAAATAAATGCTCCCTCATCATTTCATATGCTTACAATACTCGTCGCTACAAACTTTCTCCTTAAAATAGGACGAGATTTCTCGTCCTAGTTACTATTGTGGTTCGCTTGCCATTCTCTTTATTTTCACTTAGATTTTTGCGGCCGTTTGTTTGATCGGCCTTTTTTTTATTTGGAATAAAACTTATTTGATTTATTAAAATATGTTTAAATATACTCGTCGCTACAAACTTTCTCCTTAAAATAGGACGAGATTTCTCGTCCTAGTTACTATTGTGGTTCGCTTGCCATTCTCTTTATTTTCACTTAGACCTTTGCGGTCGTTTGTTTGATCGACCTTTTTTTTATTTGAAATAAAACTTATTTGATATATTAAAACATGTTTAAATGCTTTTAAAAATACTGTTTTTAAAAACAAGTTGATTTGTTGTTAAAATAGAAATAAAAAATTAAAAATACACTAAATAAATATGTTTTAAAAAAATAAAAACAAAAAAATGAAAATTAAAAATAATCCCCAACAGCCTTAAAAGATTATGAATTGTTTCTCCATTGATTCTTTAGGCATATACTTTGGTTAGCCATAGAACATCAATTGTTGATTGTTACTACTGGACAAAATTATAATATGTCTTTTATGTTCTAATTCTGCAATTGTTTTCACCTTTCCATGACACTGATTTAATGTTTGAATTTGTGTTTTTTTTTTATGTCTATTTTCTTTCTATTTTATTTTTTTCTCAGAAATTTAAATTAAATCTTGTCTTATTCCAAACACCTTATGTAGGCATCTACACACATACCACCCAAATCTACTATTTATACATCTACCTCCTAAATAGAGGCTCGGATGAGAAGATTCCTAACATAAACACTAGACAATCAGAACATTAAAACACACTGAACACACTTATCATTAACAGACACTAAACACATAATCACGAAATCACAAACTTAATTCCTCTCTAGTCGATGCAATAAATTCAGGTTTATCGTTAGTCTCTCCTTCAGCATTTAGAATATTTGCTCGCTCTTAGACAACTCCTCACCCTTCTTTTAATGTTGACAGGTTATTGATCAGCACTGTTTCTTGGCTCATCTGGAACATCTGTTTGGCTGAATCAATTTCGCCAGGGATCTGCAATTTGTAACTTTATTCATTCACCAGTCTGATTTGCAAAATAAAGCTTGCATCATACTTTACATATTCGGCCGACGAACCTTCGTCGTTGGTAAAACATCTGTACTTGCAAAATATTTTTATTTAGGAGCTTTTACATACATATCACATAGTTCTTATCTATTTATATATATGACGCCATATGACTAAAATCTTTAACATCGCATCAAAAACATCACATTGTTTTTTCTTACAATGAGACCAACTTGTTATAAGTTTGCTGTCAAATTTTGTGTCAGGTATGTAAATAGGTAAGAGTTGTGTGGTATGTGTGCAAATTTTCCATTTATGGGGGCAATTACATACAGACCACACGAAACTTGCTATTTACAAATCAACCACCCTCTTTCATTTATCAAATTCTCACTCAAATATCAAAATTCATGATAAAAACCATATCAAGGCTGCTGATATAGATCTAAACTTCTTTGTTTTTTTAGTGAAGTACCTTTTCATGCATATGTTGATGTGATTATGATGCTGAAGGGTTATCTATGTGAATATTAATGCCTTGATGTTAGATATGTAAATATATGATAATTATGTGATAATTATGCCATATTTGATGGCAATTAGCATGCTAATTATAAGAAAGTTGTTGAAAGAAATTAAGTATATAATTTTCATCATATTATTATTATCATTATTTTTTATGATGGTTTCAATTATTTTACCCATGATTGTAACATAAAATTCTATCATAAAGTCGTGTTTTCCGATTTCTCAGATGTCATCTGTTAACTCAGTTCTAAGTCTTCGAGGGTTGGGGGTTCGATCCCTGCGGTTAAGTCAAGTGGTTAGATACATGAACATGAATGTTACTATCAAAATCTCTCGCCAAGCTTTTGTAAAATGAATAAATAAATAAATAAATATCAAAATTTGGATGGCAGCCAAAATATTGTTACAATTAAGCCCAAAATAATCCAACTCCAATTTGATGATGATGGGCTCTATAACACCATTTATTTCAAAACTACCTTCAAAATAAATCTAATAACCATAAGAGAAATCTATAAATACTTAAATAAATCAAATTAAAATAAAATGAAAAATTTACACAAATATCACTCAATTCTCATGCATTTACATATCTACCACCTAAACCTCAATTTGTTCATATATCCCACCTTATCCAAGTTAAAAAGCAATGAAATTTTTTACATTTATTTGACACAAATGTAAATAAAAAATAAAGTTTAGAGGTATTAATATGTAAATTCATGAGAATTTGATTGTCTACATGCAAATGTAACCAAGAAAATACAAAAAAGAAAAAAAAAGAAAAAAAAAAAGTATTTTTAGCTATTAAATATATAAAATATTTTCACAAATTACATTAATATTTCTTTATCTAAAAAATCAATGACATTTTAAACCAAGTTCGCAATATTAAGATATAAATAAAAAAGATAACTGATAAATTATTCTGAGCCTCTTAAAAAGTCTTTAATAGCCTCAGCCTCTTCTTGATAAGAAAAATGAACCGATGAGCATTGCAAATCCTGTAAGGGCAATTGTGTAAATTATTCTCCTCTGGGATGTGGCACGTGTCCGCCTCCTGCGAGCAGCTTCTCCGGGAGAGTCATCCCCATCATCACTTCTTTGAGAAGCTTCAGAGTTGTTTGCTTGTCTCCTCCTAACACCTTCTCTATCAACCAATGACTCATTCCTATATATATACATATACATACATATGATATGAATCAAACAACAAAATTTATATAAAAAAATGGAACCACTCAATTCCTATGTATATACATATCTAACAGCTAAACTTACATTTTTACATATATGCCGCTCTACCTATGCATGAGAAAGATTTGGGCAGTATAAATGTAAGAAAATTAAAAGTTTTGGTTGTTTGATATGTAAATATGTAGGAAATGAGTAGTGGTGTGTAAAATGGTTTAAAAAAAAGCTAGAAGAAGAGATGCGATAAAATTTAGATTTTGACGGGAATCTAAGGGGGTGTTTGGTAGCATACTTTTAATAGGAATTAGTCTAACCACTTAAATCTACACCAAAATTGAATCCAACGCTCTGTTAAATTGAATTTCTTTGAGTTCCGTGTCTTTTGCTACATAAATTCGGAGTTAATAAATACGATTGAGAGGCGGATTTAAAGGATTTACTCTGTCATTGCTTGCAACCTCCATCTCTCCATCACGAGCTCGCCAAATTTACTAGATTTCATAAGTCCTATTTAACGTAATTCCACGCTGTAGCCAAACACCTCATAACAGTTATAAAACTGCTTAACCCGATCCCCAATCAAAATGCTTTTGTAAAATTACTTCTATTTCATCCCAAAATTAATCTTTTTCATCTATAGTCGGGTTTGACTCACATGAATGCATGCAAAAGCATATTGTTGGGTTTGGCTCAATGCAAAATTTGGTTTTAGTTGGGTTTAATTCGTTCTTCGGTTTGTCGATTTTGAGTTTGGAATAAATTAAAAGCAATCTATTTTTTAAGCAATTTTCATAGTAAAAACTAAGACCGATTAAAAAAAGGAGGTGATGGTCACCAACAATTCTTAAATCACCACAATGTTTTTGACATAAAAGAGTCCATTTGGCATGACTTTAGCTTTTTTCAAGGCTATGAAACTGCTTTATGAAAATCAAATTTTTTTAAAGCGCTTTTGGCAATTATATGTATATCTTTTTTTCTTTTTCAATATGTAGATCAATAATGTTTTTACATTCACCACAAACTTAGCATCTTTAACTACACATTACCATTTACCACATTGCAATGTGATAGAGACTTGAAAAGCAAATACAACAACAAACCTTTGTCCCACTAAAGGGGTCAGCTACATTAATCATTTTTCTCCATTGCGTATTTTCATTTAATTCTAATAAATTAAGATAAATTTGTATGCAATATGCCCACGTCTGTTTAGGTTTACCTCTACCTTTCGTAATATAAATCAAATTTAAAACATCTACCCTCCTAACATGGTTATCAGATGGTCGATGTTTAAAGCGACCAATAACCTAAGGCGACTCTCTAAACTTGTCCTTCACTGGAGCTACTCCAACCCTTTCACAGATATTGGTTACACATTGTCTCCCAAGTGTAAAACCACTCATCCACTTGAGCATTCTCATCTCAACAACACTTAAAATTAATATTATGCTTCTTTTACAGGCCAACATTCTGCAGCATAAAGCATTGCAGGTCTCACCGCCATCTTATAAAATTTTCCTTTCAAGTCTAAGCGGTACTTTCTATATCACACAATCGATACAATGCATTCTTCCACTACAACCATCCAATCTGAATTCTATACTAATAACAACCTCATCTATATCACCTTCACTTTGAACAATAGACCCGAGATATCTAAAACATTCACTCTTTTCAATAACTTAATTGCCGATTGTTACAAAACCGTCACCAGATCTACTACTACTAAAATTACATTTCATGAATTCAGTTTTAAATCTACTCAAACGAAAGCTTTTAGATTCTAAAGTTGACCACCATAAATCAAACTTTTTTAAATGTCTCCGGGTTTATCCACAAGAAGGATATCATCAACAAAAAAATATACACCAAAGTACATCCTCCTTTAATTGTCCAGTAAGAATATCCATGACTAAAGCAAAAAAATATAGGCCTAAAGCTGATCTCTGATGTAATCCAACAAAAATTGGAAAATACTTGATCAATCCTCCTTATGTTCGACTACAAGTAATAACCTTAAGATCTTGGCCTAGACTCAACCAAATCACGTCGGGTTTAATCCAATGGACTCTTTGTCCAGTAAGAATATCCATGACTAAAGCAAAAAAATATAGGCCTAAAGCTGATCTCTGATGTAATCCAACAAAAATTGGAAAATACTTGATCAATCCTCCTTATGTTCGACTACAAGTAATAATTGTAGTATACATATCTTTAATGACTTGAATATAAGCAATATCAACAACTTTCTTTATCATAAGTTTTTCCTAAAACAACAATAATTAAATGTAGATCCTCCTTATTCTCAGTATTTTTCCATCAAACCTCTCAATAAATGTATAGTTTCCATGGTAGACTTGCCTGCTATGAATCCAAACCGATTTGAGAAATTTTTATATCACGTCTCAACCTAAATTCAATTATTCTCTCCCATAACTTTAATGTATGATACATTAACTATATTTCTCTATAAATTTGAAAAGTAAATATGTGAAAAAAAAAGCCAACTCGAGAAAATCCTCAATTATTCTCTCCCATAACTTTAATGTATGATACGTTAACTTAATTTCTCTATAAATTTGAAAAGAAAATATGTGAAAAAAAAAGCCACCTCGAGAAAATCATCATTCTTAACATACTTAGGTTCCTTTGGGCAATTGCAATTTTTTATTAAAGTAGTTGTAAGGCTTTTGTAGAAAAAAATTAACTTTTTAGGCATTATAAATATTTTACTTCTTCAAAAATTGGAACAATAATTTTTTTACAACCACCATGCAAAATCTAATTATAAAAAGCAGCTTCTCATTATAAAAAGTCTATAAAGCTATGATAAACCAAAGGGGCATATAAACACATACCACCCAACCCTTATGTATTTACATTCTAACAACTAAACTGTACTTTTTTACATTTATACCTCCCAAATCTTTCATATTACATTAAAAATACCACTAATTTGACTTTTAAAAAGTGAAATACACATTTTCATTAATCAATAAGGTGGCATGTATGCACAAAAATTGAAGTGTGTGGGTGAGATATGTAAATACATAGGAATTGAGTGATATTAATGTATATCTTCCTAAAACAAAAGCCAAACAGAGGAGATGCAACAGTCAGAAAAGCAAAACAGTGAAAAAAACTACCCCATTTAAAGCACAAGTTCACCACTTAATTCTTCTAGGATTTTGGAAGAGTGTGGGAATGAAAATGTAACAAAAAGATAACAAATTTACCCAAATTACCTGGAGCCAGAGGATTCTGCTAAACCATCTGAATGAGACTGGCAATTAACTTCATGTCTAATGAGTTCACGAAGCCTAATATACTTGTTGCAAGTATGGCAAAGTTCTGTTCTATTCCCACACACTTCCTGAAAGCAATAAAAAAAAGGAGAAATTTACATACATACCAACCACACAATTCTTAAATATTTACATATCTAACACCTAAAATTTGTTATTTACACTTATACCACTTCGATGCCACAAATCCATACATAAAAAAAGGTATCTTTCACTTTTAGAAAGTTAAAAATGGTTGCTTTTTTTATCTGATGTTAAAGATTAGAGTTTTATGTGTAAATATGAAAGTTTGGGTGTCAGACATGTAAATACATAAGAATTGTGTGACATGTATGTAAATGCCCCCCAAAAAATATATATATTTTTATCAAAACTTTAGTGCAGATAAAACTGACATAAAATGGCAGATAAAGTTAAGTTCGTTACCTGATGCTCATAAAGATCAGCTGCAGGCAAAAGAAACTCACAAAATTCACAAGTCACAATTCTTTTTGGACATTTTTCATCTTGATGAAGAGACCAGCCTTCACGCTCTATAGTTTCACTGCACAGTGAACAATCTATCTGTTTGCATGCCAAAAACAAAATAAAAACATCAAAAGAAAAGGAAATAAAATGCAACATAAAAAAGTTTCAAAATAAATTCCATGAAGTCAACGAATTTATGGACGACGATATAAATGGCATATGCTCGTATACTTTAGATGCAATTGCGCCTTTACAATATAGAGATGTTATCTTTATAAGGAAGAATTACAAACATGCAACTCAATCCTTTAGATGCAATTGCGCCTTTACAATATAGAGATGCTATCTTTATAAGGAAGAATTACAAACATACGACTCAATTGTATACAACTCAATCGTATTTACATATCTAATATTTAAACTTCAATTTTTACATACATGTCATCTTACCTATAATTTCACTTTTTAAAAGTTAAAATAGTGATATTTTTTATGTGATATGAAAGATTTTCATGGTATAAATGTAAAAAGTAATCTTTAGGTGCTAGATATGCAAATACATAGGAATTGGGTGGTATGTAAATAAATGCCCCTTTCTATAATTGAAACATGTGGCCTCTAGGCTCTAGATCACAATCGACGCAACAAAACCATCGCACAAGGCCCGCTCTCTTCGTGCAAATAACACTTTGAGTTTAAATACATAAAAGAATAATTAAACAATTATTCATCAACACATCTGTGGCACCTCGTCCAATCTCCGCATGTTTGCACATTTTGGTTACTACAATATAATGAGCATTAATTGTTCTTCTTCTTTTTTCTTTTCAAAACGGAATTCATCAACATGAAGCAAAGGATATATTGAACACTAAGCGTGCACACTTATAAATGCTCAAGTCATTATGCAAAATGTCTATCAAGATACTCTAATTAAATTTGCATAATATATCCAAAATAAAATCTGACATACCAAGTGTCACTTTATCTTTCAAGTAATATTGGCTGATAACTATTAATTCTACAATCACTACAATTGCATAACATATTTTCGATCTTTATTCTACTAATCTTTAGAATTTATCTTCTAAATATTTTCACTATTAGTCTAGTTTTTCATTTATTTCAGAAGAGATTCCACTGTAAAGAACTATCATATGCAAAAAACATACACCAAAGTAGCTTGGTTGAAGATCCTTTTTAAGCATTTTTTTATAATCAATACAAAGGAACATGAACTAAATTTACAGCTTTAAATACTAATCAACGTGTTATCATGTCTTTCTTTAATAATTTCAATATTTCTTTAAAGCAGATCCTTCTTACCTTAATGTACACTAAATTAATTTCATGATACTCGATCTTGCATCTCAAGATTAATAAATATTACATAAAAAAACCTTACCTTACTCTGTATACTAGAGCAATTACTTGTGTCAAACAGAAAGAT